GGCGCTTCTCCTCCTCTGCGTGGCGCTTCTCCTCCTCTGCATGGCGCTTCTCCTCCTCTGCCAGGCGCTTCTCCTCTGCGCGGCGCTTCTCCTCCTCTGCGCGGCGCTTCTCCTCCTCTGCGTGGCGCTTCTCCTCTGCCAGGCGCTTCTCCTCTGCACGGCGCTTCTGCTCCTCAGCGCGGCGCTTCTGCTCCTCAGCCTCAGCCTCTGCCTCTGCCTGGCGCCGCTGCAGCTCCTGCTCTTCCCGAAGCTGTTGTTCCTCCTTCAGTTTCCTCTCTTTCTCAAGAATGACTTGTGCCTGAAGCATCTGGTTTTGATCCTCACGCACACGGTCCTCTTGCTGCAGACTCCCGTCTACTTCTCCTGCTCGGGTTCCTTCTGTGTCAGAAGACTTGCACCCTTCCGTCCAGGCGACTTCCCACGTGCTGACAGTGGACTCCCGTGTGGTCAGAGAAATGCTGTTTGAGTTTAGGTCCATCAGCTCCTGTGTGACCCAGGGAAAAGAAACCCGTCTCAACCTGTGAACCGCTATCATTTCCCATGGACACATATATATATTCAGATCTACAGGATACTTGCAGTTGGCCCTGAATTTTGCTAGAACGATGTTAAAGATTTTAGCACTACTAAGGCCACACCTAGGTGATGGGTCACTTAGAAGAAGATACACTTAAGTTCTATGACATGAATGTGAGGATGCCGACAAATGGAGAAAGGATAAAAACATCAAAGCAAAATCTGGCCATCAGACCTCGTAATTCAGGTGTCATTGTGGCCAAAAGGAAGTGGAATGCAGTATCTTCCACATTTCTGCTAATTTCACCCACAAGCTGCAGAAGGAAGAAAAATGCATCACCAAAGTACCTCACTCAAGTACTTGGAATTCTCTTGCTCGGCCTCCTGTTTAGCCTTCTGCCACTCCTCCCTCAGTTTCTCCTGCTCACGTTGGTATTTTTCCTGTAGGAAATGATAGCATGTTCATTCATTTTAATTAATAAGTTAGTGTAAAATGAATCTCCTTCATTCACACTGTCACTAGCTCCACACTTCACCTCAATCTTTAAAGACAGTGATATTTTTGGCCCTCCCTGGTGGCGCAGTGGGTTAAAGCACAGCACTAAGTAGCTTAAGCCACTTCCGCATGAGTTCAATCCCCGCCTGCCCCAGAGGAGATCCACATGGCGTGGCAGACCTCTCCTGACCCGCCCACTGCTCCCCTCAGCAGTGTACTTCATAGATCTGCCTGTTCTGCACCCCACTCTGTCCCTGGTGAATCCTCTCACCCTCCGCATCTCTGGGCTGTACCCCAGTTCTGTATGAATAAATAAATCTTTAAAAAAAAAAAAGATAGTGATATTTTAAGCAAGGAGATATTTAACCCTAGTGAAGAAATGGCTTATACCAAATCAAAAAGCAAATGCTGGGAGAGAGGAAGCACTCAGACCTAACCAGCACCCACCCCACCCCCATGCTGTTCTTTCTCAAGCCCTTGGAGAACTGCAAAGAAACTGGGTAACTCTGCCATAGAAGGAGCAGGCTTTACAGGGGCCTACATAGCTCCACTCCCAGAAAACTCACACAACCTAGCACCACACTCTCTCTAAATACATACAGGAGGTGATAAATGTTTCAAAGGATAATTTTGGGCAACTCCAAAATGAAAAATAGTTGTTGAACAGAAAATGTGCTCATTGCAAAAGATTTTTTAACTGTGATGTCAATACAGGTTGGCGTTATACAAAGAAAAACAATTCAGAAAAGCCTAGCTCCATCTGGGTTAGCCTCACCTACTCCTCCCTCAGCAGCGTATTTCCGTCAGTCGGGCTGTTCTGCTCCCCACTCTGTCTCTGGTGAACCTCTCATCCCCCACAGCTGGGCCTGCACCCCAGCTCTTGAATGCATAAATAAATAAAATTTCTTTTAAAAAAATAAGTAAAAGCCTGGCTCAGCTGATGCACTTGATCCTGCTGTACCTGCAGCAGGCGTTCCTGCTCCTTCTGCCACTTCTCCTGCCGCCTGCGCTCCTCCTCCTGGTCCCACGCCCGACGAGTGGGAGCACTGAGAGTCGGAACTGGAAGCTAACCAGCGATCAGGTGCAAACAGAATGTAAGTGATAAAGTGAAGCATGTTCACATCCATAAATCATTCATACCACCCTTGCCTAAATTGTACCAAAGGAGATTCATCTTTATAATTCAAAATAGGTCTTTTCAACTTGGAGAGATTACTCTTGATAAACTCTTAGGCAACTGAAAATCATGGCAAGTGATGCTAATGTGTGCTCCATTCAGTCCCACCAAGGTCACCTCCTTTATTCCAAAAACAAATTACTACTTACATCAGGACCCACAGAATCAGAGCTTCCTGTATTACAGCATGGAGGCGAGGGAGGAAAAAAATACAATGTAAGTCTTTTCATTTATATAAATCATTTCTTTCAGGAAGTTAAATCACTAGAGGTTTCTATGCCAGTATACTAAGTGGCATCATTTTTTAAAAACACAGCAGTAAATCATTTTTTCTCTAAAGCACCAACTGGTAACTCATTTTCCAAATACAGAGTTTTTTAAAAGCAAGAAAGAAAACTATGCATGCCAAAGTAAACCCTAGCTCCCACTACTGATCTGATCAATGTCTAAGCATCTTCCTAAAGAGGTTTCAGAATCTTATTACTAGGTTTAGTAGTACTTCACATTTGGCCTAACACAAAAATTTAAAAATCACATGTTCCAACAGCTACCAAATCCAATTTTTTGCTACTATCCAATTACATTGTGACAGCTGCGAATTACATTTTTCAGATGTTGCTAATGAATTATTTTTCTTAAATAAGCCACAGTAACAAATGCAAGCAACCTTTGCCTTTTCTTTCCGATTATTTGAAAAACAGTACACATTTCCATGCTATGGAGTGGTCGTATTCTTTTTACTCTTAGGGGGCTTATGTATACTCCACATGTAGCATAGTGACTGCAAACAAAAAAAGCAAATTTCATAAAATGTAGAATCACACTGTATTTTCAAGTTTTCCTAAAGCCTCATCTGTCAAATAAGTTATCCAATTATTTCTTTAAGTACTTTGAGACTTAGGAAAATATTATTCCCTAAGATAGCCCATTAAAGAAAAGTGAGTGAAATTTTAGTAGGAATAAAGAAAAAAATGGCTTTACTTTAGCCAATTTGAGGTAGGAGTATCACCCTGTTTTGATTAAATTACTTAACAAAAAATGTCAAAAGCTCCAGATGCTGACACCAATAGGCTTGCACGTGTCTTGCTGGCGACCTATTTCTATCTCTGGTCAATGAGACACTTTAGCTGGCCCAAACGAAGGTTGTTACGGACAACACAAAATCTAAAAGTCCTATAAATATGTTATATAAATGTTTTGGATCATCTCAAAAGTAAGACACAGGAACATTTTTGACACCAACAGCACACATCCCTCTGTGCCATCGCATCTCAAATGTTGGGTGTTACTTTTAAGTTCTGGATCTCAAAACACAAAGCTCAGACTGCATTCGTGAGACAGAGCATCAGAGAAACGCAGAAGCAGAGGAAACACCACATGCAAAGCCGCCCAGCTAGCTACATCAACAGGGGTCCCTCAGTGCACTTGTCACATAAAGTTTTCATTTATTTCAAAATTGATATTTTATTTTGCTTTGATGTCCACAGGGTAGTTCTGCTCACACTCCAAAGCTACCATCCTAGTGGCCGTAAATCTGCTCTCCATTAAAAGTAGTTCTCATGCCCCTAGAATTTGGTGTTTTTAAAAGGTGACCAGTTGCATGTTGGTGTAATCAAATATTATGCCATTTGCAGGAAGCAGTTAAGGCTTAAATGAAAATCCTCATTTTTTGCTGTGACCCAGTGGAAAGAAGTGTGTATTTATCAGCATCTCAATTTTTTGTTTTAATTAAAAGAAAAAAAAGTCAGCAGTATAAAAAGGACACACAAAGACCCATTACCACAGAGGTAGACCCATGAGCTGTAAGACAAGCCTGATGACCCTAGGGAAAGAATGGAAATGAGTTATGTTGTTTGGTCAGAACAACAGCAAACTGAAGAGGCTCAGTGGCCGGGGACACAGACTATGAGCAAAGAAATGAGAGTGGGAACAATTCCATGAAGGTGCATGAACTGTTAGCTTCGTGGTTTACCTTGTTCAAAAAATTGTGATCGCCTTTTTAAGTTTTTCAAAGAAATAGGTTCAGATGCTATTTGAAAAATACAAAAAAAAAAAAATCAATACCATGTTATTCATTTTAACCTCACCACTAGAAAACTTAATGATAATAAAGAAACTTTTCCTGTCTGTAGTAATATTATTTTTTAAATGGCAAAACTGACAAGTTTAGAAGATAAGCTTTATTTCAATGCAACAGAAACATACATTTTTAGTAGTCTGTCATACATTCAAATTAGTAAACATAACTAGTATTCATCTAAAATTAATACATTTTAGCAGAAAACATCAGAGTTTCAAAGAAGCCAAAATACCATCTTTGTGCTAGATTGCACAGCTCTAGGAAAATGGAAATAAAATATTTTGCTTAAGTTCATCAACACCAAATCCTCTAACACAAGAATTGGTCATAATTAAGTTCTTGCACTACTGATGAGGAAAAAAAAACTGAAAAATAATATGGAAGATAAGGAAGATGAGTAAAGATAAAATAAAAAACAATTGTTAAAATGAAATATTATTCTAGCTAGAACATTTTGTGCTCGTTTCAAGACCTTAGTCACTAACTTGTAAAGCAAATGGTATACAGTCAGAACTGTACTTCTACAGATGTTATAGGAGTATGGTATATGATTGCTATACTTCAGTTTATTTCATAAACTGTAACTATAACAACAGATGATGCTTACGTCTCTAAATAAAACCCTCAAATGACAGGGCCTGTATTTAGTCCTGCAGTTGCCAAGGAGTTAGCTGTCTTATCAGTTTGTTCTGAGTCACTAGTAGAACAGGACCCGGATGTGACATAGAAAAACTCCTTTGATAAAACTCCATTGATAAATAATGCAATATGAAACAATTGAAATAGTCACTTCCAACTACCAGAAACCAAACACAAAGATAAATAAAGGATGAGACATCTATAAACTCGGTTTGGTTTCGTAATGTAATATATGAGGAACGGGCAAAAGCTGATTCAAAGCCACCAAACCATGACCCACTCTTGGCAGTGAAGTTTCAGAGTGCAAGCAGTTTCATCTTCCTTTAGTCTCCCTGCCTCTGTGGACCAGATCTTTCTTAAATATTCACACACAGCAGATGGCAACTAAATTATTTATGATAAGCAGGAGAAGAGTGACAACCCTTCACGTGAAATTTCTCTACATATTCTGCCAGTGTTTTTATTACAAGCAGGTAGTTCACCTAACCACTAGCTCAAGTAGTTCCCTGTTAATAGCAGTGGCCTTCAGTTTGCTCCTCTCACAACCATCAAGGGAAAAAGCAAAACTTCATTCATCGTTTCATATTTAACTAAGACTTCCTTAGTCAGCAGACCATAGCCAGAATGCTGAAGCCTTAGGGAAACCAGTCTTTTGTGTTTGGCTTAAACACACAGACACGCAGAGCTCCCAGACAAGCTGCCAATGCTTTGTTTTGCAGTTCCTGAACTATCGGACACTGGAACTAAATGCCTTTCCACTGGCTGCAACTGGAGCTGTGTGCTGGCCTTTTAGTTTCAACTGGTCGTGGGTCAGTTTTTCTTTTGCTCATAGATACTAATTTTTTACAACAGCAGAATTTGAGTGCTATCAGTTTTCATCTACTATAAGCATATATTATATAAGTTGAATGCAAATTATAGTGATGATTACCTTTTGAGTCAAAAGTACTGCTTTCATCACAAATACCATTGATTTCTTTGGATTCAGGATTCTGGAATGGATAAAAATGCCAGTTAACAACATTCTCTCTAACTGGATCTGAGTTCACAGGATACATCCCCCATTAAGTGAAAATACCCTCAGATGAGTTTTTCAGGATGTTAATGGATTCTTTATGGTCTTTTATACGTAAATGAAATTTTAAAATTTTTCATTATCTTTTAATACTTATGGAAAATGCCATAAGCATGGATAGCTTTAAATTCAAATATCAACTTTCCCAGAAATATGATGGGTCAAATAAGTATTAGTCCATTTGACTCATTTGTCAGTAAGCAACAGTCATACCAGTTTCTCTAACATTTAAAAATTTTTTACACAATGTAGCAGGATCTCCTTGTTATATCTAAGGAGTCAATATAAACATTTATTTGAAATTTTAAATTAATTATTGCTTTGATGCATTGGATAATTAGTGCACTATAATTATTTTAATCAATTAATATAACAGTCTCTTAATCACATATCCAAGTCTACCCCTCAAAATCACCTACACAAGAACTAAAATGCTTCATGAGGTTTTAAACTGCATAAAATTACTATACTTATTTTACCTTGAGTAAAGACTACAGAAAGCATAGAAAAGTTATAGTTAATAATTTTATGTAATTACTATTTTATATGCACAAAGACCTGAGAGATGAACATAATGATAAAAGATTGATAAGAAACATCTACAAAACAACATTATGGGATCTTCTGACTCCATTCTTATAATTCACTATTGCCCAAATTATTAATGATTAGAACCTTATAATTTTCAAAAATATACATTTTATTTATTACTACAAGTTATTTTGTTCAATTATTTATTTGAAAAGTAGCATTAAAAATCTTACTAACCCCCCAATATTTCTAGAATTCCTTTGCTTTACACAAATACTTCTATTTCTCCAATTACTTACTGAATTCTGAAGGCTTTCTGAGAAATCAGTTGAAATAGACAGACTGGAAGACTTGTCAGTGTTATAAACTCCAGAAGTTGCATCAATCCACTTTGTCTCAGGTGAACCTATAATTTTGGTAGCCATACTGGTGAGATTCAGGGTTTTATGCCTTTTAAATGGCAGGGAAGGTTGGTCTTTGGCCCAGTCTGATTGCCACATGAAGATCAAGAAATAAGCACACATAAATGTTGAAGTGGAAAGAACAGTTACTGGATGCACATATACAAAATATACATAAACAAGACAGACAAACAAATCACATTGTGTGAAAGAAGTCAAGACTGTGGGCCTTGTACCAAAAGACCACCTTCCAAGAACACGGGGTTAGACGATGTTAATGATGAAAAGACTAGCAAATCTTCTGAATATTTCAGCAAACCAGGACTCCATATTCTATCCGAATATCCTAGGTTGGTAGGCCTGAGGTGGCTTAATGTTCTTCCGCACCAAACCATAGGCACTTAGAAACTACCACAGAAAGAATATTGAAGGTTCCGTGAGAATAAACAGGAGTATGTTCTACCACCTTCTCTCTTACAACAGTAAACAGTGCCACAAGGAATTAAGTCACAGTGCAATTTTTTAATGCTTGACATTATTTTATGATTCCTAAATGCAGATACAACTACCTTCAGCTGATATTTGCATTCAAAGTCAGTCAGCATATAAATCAGTCAATAAATGCAAAATTCAGAAAATTTGCTAGTGAAACATTTTCTGACAGAATAGTCAAGGAAATATCATTAAAGATTCATCTTAACATAACCACAAAACATTTTTAAGCCAAAAAAGAAACTGAAGAGAATGTTATTGAAGCAAGCTGTTAGAACCACCTGCCAAAGACCAGTTCGCAGTGTAGAAAGCCAGACACGGCAGTGAGGCTGACTCACCAGACTTTCCATGGCGTCTGATATCCATGACTAGGTTTCCAGTGTGTTGCGCATCAGCCATGGTTTCTTCCCACTCTTTTGTGTCCTTACATGAAAACTTGGTATTGTTAACAGCAATAATTTCATCATCTACCTGTAGTTGAGAAAATTCTGCCGGGCTACCTAAATGGAGCCAGATAAATGAAATGAATGTTTTAAGCCCAAATGTTCTACAAGTCATTGCTTATGAAAAATGACTTCTTAATATGTGAAACTAACCATCTCACATGGAGAAGGTTGTGAAGTTTTTGTTATCAAATATTTGAGCATCAACAATACCAGAAACACCAAAGGCAATTTTTACTCTACAGTACGTATCTTCACAAACATTTAGAGGCGAAAAGATAAGCTCATCTGTTCAATAAAATTTATTAACCTACTAAGAACAAAGATGTTCAATTTTTAAATGAAAGAAATGTAAAATACATTGCACTTCAAATCTAAATGCACTCTGAAATGAAGAAAACAGGGTTACTCCAGACTCAGCAGTTTGGAAATTTCAAAGATATAACCAGTTAGCATCCAATTTTACAGAACTAAAATACATAAAGGAGGAAATCCTCTCAAGTACAATAGTTTTTGTTGAAATTTTCAGCCTTGTGGTGACATTTTGCTGAGTTCCTGACCTTGACTTGATAGGATAAGCCTGAGAAGGGGACACAATTCTTCTGTACGTATCCAAAGGCATCCAGAGACCTTCAGTTATTAAACAACTTGTATATATATTGATGATACATAGTTGATCATGCTAAGTTCTTTCACAATCTTCTCTTAAGAATTACTTGTTAGCATTTCCAAACATGCAGCTAAAACTTTTGACAAATGAATTCTATAAGTTAGAAAACTCTTCAAAATAATTAGTAAGGCAGGAAGGATAACCAATATGTATTTTGTAACCTCAAATATTAATTGGGAGAAGTGCCTCTCACTAACTGCTGCATTTTTTCACCTAATTTCAAAAAAAAAAAAAAAAACTAATTTCAGGCCTACAGGGGGGTCTACCCAGCATAGGCTAGCAAAAAAGAAGAAAGTTCTATGATTTACCTGCTTGGACTGATGCTACGAAGATCCGGGGAAAATCCCATCTTACTGTAAACCCAAAGTCAACACTGTTCCCAGGCGTCTGGTTTATGCTGATTCTCATATCACTGAACTGATCCTGAAAACAAACACGGAACGGTGAGATCAGGTATCCCCGGCACCCACAGGGAGGAAAGTCTATCCAAGAAAGAAGGGAGGCTGTGTGCAAGGCACACTTGAATTAATGTGTGATAAACCAGCAACTTCATTCTTGCTCCCTTGTGTTTGGAAAAAACTCATTTACCTAAAATCATGAATTGGTTATTTTTGTGCTATAATAGATAACATAAAAGATAAGCCTATGCCAATAGATGTTTTTTCTCACATTAGTAAATGTTGGTCAAAGATAAAGTTTAGGCTTTTGCGCTTTGTGAATCTACTTTATAGGCATTTTTTAATTGCCTAGGATGAAATCGAGTAATCTGATCAATTTTTAAATACCTGAAATTTATAGAATGTTAGAATGCAATGCTACTGCAATAAAACTAACAAAATGCAGCTCTATTTATTAAAAAAGGAAGGAAGGAAGGAAGGAAGGAAGGAAGGAAGGAAGGAAGGAAGGAAGGAAGGAAGGAAGGAAGGAAGG